TATATTGATATTGATATGTCTGGCCGAGCAGAACTTATTACAATTGGCAGTTGAGCACATAACAAGGCACGAGATATGTTGTCTATTTACTCATAAATACACTCACGTTCTTATAACTACTCTCATATGCACGCATCGTATGCATACACTCGCGAAAAATTGTGCTTCTAGTGAGTAACTGGTACTAGGCATAAGAAGAACATATTATGAAACTAAAATAAATGTTGCCCATAATCTTAAATGCTTGATTATACTCGTAAAGATCTATTAGTACTCATAAGTACTCGTAAATGCTCGCAACTACTCGTAAATACTTTTGAGTACGCATGAGAACTCATAAATACTCGCAAGTACTCGTAAGAAATCGTGAATATCCTAAATTCCGAAATGAGTACTCGTAAATACCCGTAAATGAATACTCGGAAGTACACATACTTTTAAGTACTCGCAAGTGCTTGTAAGTACTCCCATATGTGTGTACTCGTAAATACTCACATATAATCAGCTTTAGCAGTCTTTTGACTACTTCTAAGCTATACTATATGAAAACGTAAGTCTTTCCTGAATTCCAAAACATTTTTCCCAAGTTACCAATATTTTTTTTGCCTGCAATAGTTTCCCATAGCCAAGTTCTGCGTGTCTAGAGTCTATTGAATTGCAAAAGTCTCGAATTCCAATGCCGTAGCTCAGCTTCAAGTCGTCTATAGCCAGCGGTGGTGCTGTGTTGCGATGGTTTGTGGCTTCGTTTCACATTAGCCGCCTAACCAGAAAAAGAGAAGCACCATGGAGCACGCCTGCCAGCTGCAGCGGGCCAAAAGGATGCGCATGTGCAGCCAGCCAAACAGTGTGTAATTAAAGTGTTGCATATTTATGAAAGTCATGCAGGCACACACAAATAGACACAAACACAAAATGGCCAGCAATCGATGTGGTCTATAAATAGGCTAAATGCTATGGCCAGGCTAGTGCAAGAGCAAAATGCATGCGCCTTAATGGCGTCTAATAAATGCTCATTGGCATAATAGACACGTGCTCCAAACTGGCATATGCACATTAATAATGAGTTGATTGATTGATCAATCAAAGTGCTTGCACTTGAGAGTCAACATTCATTCACAAGGAGCTGCTGCCTGTCATCCTGCTGCCCGTTGACGGGCAAATTGGCTTTGTTGCAAAAGTGCTCGTTGATGATGTTAGCAATGGCAGACAACCGTTTGCCCGATGACAACTCCGCAGCATGTTCTAATCAAGAAAGCAGCAACAGCAATGGGAAAAAGTTAACATGTATAAATGCTGTAAACGGGTTTAACCGACTGCCTCATACCTATTTAAAATTAAACAGACTAACTGCCCAAATAGCTAAGATATATAGATTTATTTGATCCTTCCTCCTGGTTGTTTGAATCAATCTCAAGAGGAGTATCTCCAGCTGTGAATATTTACAGTATGAACTTTGGGATAAAACTTGATAGTTCCAGTTTAAAAGCTATGGTAGATATAGATTAAACCCTTTCTCCTAATGGACATGGCCATTTATTCGTATATATTCGCAAGTTTATACGAACGCACGAATGAGCACCTCGCATACAACCAGTATACCCAATCTTCACTTTGTGAACGAACATAATAAGACTCAACAGACACAACTCCCCTAACGCAGCAGACAGCCAATTAAAAGTGCCAGCCAAGTTAAGAGTTGCGTCGAGTTGAAATCGAGTCCGAGTCCGAGTCCGAATCCCAGTGCGAGCTCAGGTCCGCAAGTTCTTTTAATAATAGCTTTAAATGGCTTTTGCGCAATCAGATTACTTGCAGTTTTGCCCGTTGAATTCCAGCTAACTAAATGGCTCCAGGCAATACCATAATATACAACAACAGCAACAAATGGAATAAAAACACGCACTCGACTCGTTCCCAGCACTCTATCTGCCTTCTGCCTCCAACTCTGCCAGGCTGTTTGCATTCTAAGCCAAAGTGAAATTCAATAGAACTGGCAAATGCCATTTGCGAGCGGTGCTTGTGCTCCATGAAGCCCATCTAGAATCGCATCCCATTCTGTCTTGCCAGTTGCTGTGCATATTTCTATACCACGTAACTGTGCCCACTCAAAGGTTATATATGGCTAGCTCAAAAGTCTTACAGTTGCAATTATCAAGCGCTTATTATAGCAACAGCTCGTAAAGTTCATCTGCCAGGATCGGGCTTTATCTGGTCGATAAATATCTCGGGTAAATACAGTCCGATTTCGAAATGATATTCCTCTTTCTACTAGCACGGATACCGACTATCGATTGCCATTCAAAAATCCCCATTCTAAGAGGTGATCCAAAATGAGAAAAACTGAAGTGGTTACATCACGTTTTTTGTTAAAAATTACTTTTTTCTTAAGTCAATAAAACTTTAATGCCATTCTATTCTAAGCGCCTTCGCGAGTTCAACGCATCCAATCTCTCCACAGTCGGGCGTTATTTGACCTAGATACGGCCATTAAAAGTTTTAAAATTGAAATATCTCGGGTAAAAACAATCCGATTTCGGATTTTTCTTTAATGGAAAAGCTGAACATCATCGATTATTTTTATCGCAATCTACAAAAACTATTAAATAGATCGATTGTCAACCCCTTTTAATGATTTTATTTAGTTGCAATTGATTTATTTTTGTTTTATTTATTGCTTATAAGTATAATCAAGTTAGGTCTAAAAAGATATCGATTGTCATGCCTATCGCGACTCAATCAAGTTTGTGTTTTACAGCACTATTAATTATTGAGTGTTGCCACCTTTTTTATAGGCTATCCTTTTGGTATATCACACCCTTGCACTACTTCTTCCCTGGCAGTTAAAGCTAGGCCAGGCTGTCCACTCACCTGGTCGCACTTCGTGGACCTTCCCCCGGGTGCCAGAGGCTGGAGTTGGTTGAAAGTTCTCTCTTATGCAAATGCTTTTGTGTGGCTTGGGGCATTCCAGGCTATTTGGTTGTTTCTGTGCATGCACAAGAGCCTGTTGCCTTGGTATTTGTGTGCACATGTGAGCATGTCCTTGTGCACAGCATTTTTTTTTATATTTTCACTTTTTGTTTTCGCCACGTTTTAAGACTCAACACGCCCCTCACCAGCTGCCGGGGCCTGTGTCGTTGTTTGTGGCTGTCGCATGCATTGAAATGAAAAGTTTTGTACGTCCGGAAAATGCTTTCTGTTGCTGCTGCTGCTGTTGCTGCTGCTGATGAGTTTTCTTTATCGCATTGACGCCAACATCTGCCGCTGGGCAGCGAAATCGTGAGGGACGCATACAAAAAATACAACCGCAATTCAATGTTTAGACAAAAGATCGCAAATGGCTTCGTTTCTACACATAACCCACATAAGAGTTGACTCATCTACAATGTGTTATATGTATATACCTATACATATGCAAATGTGTGTGTCAATTATTGCAATGCAACTGTCAGATACATACATACTTTGTGTGCATATATGTGTGAGTATCTGTGTGTATTTATGTTTTTACAACACATTTTACATGCATTTTTATGATATGGCACATTTTGATCCAAGATTTTGTCATCTCTTTAACACTCTGTTGTCACGAACTTCAATAATGTGAATTGGTTTTGTTGCGGCTCGATTATATAACAAAAATCATTTTTTTAATTGTATCTACAGTTGCCCGATGAAACAGCATAAAAGGCAAATAGAGATAAAAAAAAAAGATAGAAGAGAGGAGAAATGAACTCAACAACAATAGCAGCTAGTTTATTAAGGTCAATGTTAATGCCAGACAAGATACATTTGACAGCTACTTGTAACAAATACAATCATGTTATATGAGACTTTGGTGTATTTATCATAAGACTGTTAAGTGTTTAAAGGGGATTTTCACCTAAAAAAAAACGAATCGACAATAAAGCAGTCAAGCGTCACGTAAAAAGACTGCGTGCCTTAGAGGTCTGACTGTTGAACTAGCAAGTGTAAGGTCGCTGGTTCAAATCCAGAAGAAAATAGCCATCGATAGACGTGTGTCGGCAGCTTTAAAGGCTTTGCATAACTCTGAACTGGGCTGGAATTATACAAACAATTTCTTTGCCACTTGCATTTTCAGCATTAATCACTTCAACCAGGCAAAGCCGCTTAATTTCTTGCAGTACTTGCGCTGTTGTTAGTTGAAAATATCATTTAATATAACTAAAGAATTGTATAGTTCATTCGAGTGCCATAAATTGTTCATATATTTTATAAGGCAAATGGCAAACTCTCAACAATTCAGCTTAATTTTCAGATAAATTCAACTAGTTAATGGCACACACAAATCGCGGCAACACTTCACATAAATATTAAAAACTAAAACAGAAAAAAAATGAAATCAGAAAAAACTTCAAGCAATTTCCGCAATTTTCGATTCGGAAGCGCAATTAAAGTTGAATTTAAAATGCTTCCAAAATGCATAAATAAAATAAATTTGTCGCTAAGAAAAATGAGTGAAAAAAAAGCAAGTGGTGCATAGTATAAAATTGTTGCATAAATTACAAAACATTTGCAATATTTAAAAACAACAAAAAAGGGGTTAATAATTGACAAAAAAAAAGTAAGATAATTTAAATAAATTGTGCACGTTTCAGACTAAACTAATTGCATAATAATTTAATTACGCAGCTAAAAATTACGCTATGAAATACATCTGAATATTAAAAATAGAATAAAACACGTTCCACAAAGCTGATACAGTAGCTAAAGCCCAATAAATTGCTCAATCCAGTTGCAGCTGGGTTGTGGCGGTGCGATGTGTGAGGGTGCGGGGGCAGAGGCAACATCCACGCACGTGCCTCCTTCTGTGCCCGAACTGCATTGATATGAAATTTGTTGTTATAGCCTCGCTTTAGCAGTTTCCTTAATAAAACCTACAATTTTACGACTAGCTTTTAACTTTATATGTTGTGTGCATTTACATATATAAATATATTTCGCTAACGACAATTTCCTTTTGTATTTTTTAATTGTGATTGCAGTTGGTACTTCCGCAAAATCAAACGCATTGAGGCTGAGAAAAAATTGCTACTGCCGGAGAACGAGCACGGCGCATTTTTAATACGCGATTCCGAGAGCCGTCACAATGACTACTCGCTATCAGGTGGGTGGGCTATAAATGGCATGCGTAATGCCATTCTACTCTTTGAATTACAATGCATATATACTATAACGAGATATATATATAAATGTATATATGTCTAAATTGCAGTTCGCGATGGCGATACGGTTAAACATTACCGCATCAGACAATTGGATGAGGGCGGCTTCTTCATTGCCAGACGCACAACATTCAGGTTAGTTAACAAATACGTTTTTAATCCCGCCCTCTGCTAATCGACTCTCGTCTATAATTAACTTTAAACAGAACCCTACAAGAGCTTGTCGAGCACTATTCCAAGGATTCGGATGGCCTGTGCGTCAATCTTTGCAAACCCTGTGTACAGGTAAGCCATAAATATTCCGTATTATGCCTAAATTCATGGTATTACCTTTTGTTTATTCGTACATGCATTTTAACATGCACTTAACATTCATCTAACATTACGTCTTGCTAACATTAACATGGCATATTTACATTTAACATTTAACATTTTATTATGATTTCTCATTATTTACGTAAAAACTTAACGAAAACGATTTTAAAATATGTTTTTTTGTTGTATTTTTTCCTTTAATTAATATACTAACGATATTATGAAAAAAAATACTAACAAATAAAAGACAAATACATTTACGGGTATTTTTGAGGTAGGATTTTGTACTTAAACATAAACGTTAATGTGTGTGTGCGTATGCGTGTGTGTGTGTCTTTGCCACTGCCAAAAAAAAAAAAAAAAAAAAAACACCATCACGCCAAAATTTATACCAACAGAAAAAAACCCATTCATTTTATTTAATTCATGAATAGCCAAAGTACAAAGTGCAATTAAATGCAAAAGAAAAAATCCCAAAACAAATTATTCAAAATTAATGCCAGTTATTTTTGGAATCTTTTAACCAAATAAAATGAAAGATATTTATATGGATATAACAATTGTTAAGTCAGTTATAAAATGCTGCACTTAAACCAGTTCAGAATTATAAGCTGGCAATTGTAAATAAATACCCCTACGCTTGCTGCTGCGCAATCCTATTTCTCGTCTATAACTTTGCCTAATTTGTTGTAGGCACTTTCAAGCTTACGCCAGACTCTACTTAACTCCTCTATAGTATAATTTATATACTTTGTGTATATAATCTTGCTTCATCGAGTGTATATACATATATGCGCATTGTATTTGGTGCAACTGCCAAATCGCGTGTCTAATTTATGCAGAAAACAAAACAAAAAACACAAAACTCTGCGAAGGGCATGCAAAAAATGTCAAGTAATGCACTTTCAAATTTACAACGCCCCGTGAGTCAGCGCGTTTGGCTTAAACAATGCAAACATTTAATTAACCGACTACAGCTAAATGCACTTTGACTTTGGCTAAAGGCCAACACACAATTGTAATAATAATAACAACAGCCAAATTAAAACATTAATAACTCCTTCGCTCTACTTCAACAATCAATTAACAATCGAATATGACTAAAAACCATTTTTTGTACATAATGCCTAAATGTATGCCACATTTACAACCGACTCTCAATTGGCACCATCATTGAAACGAGCCCACAAGCACACAGCATATCTAAACAATTAGCTCCTTTAAATATATTGCATTTATTTATTTATTTGTAAAACTAAACTAATTTGTACTCTATCGCAGATTGAAAAACCTGTCACCGAGGGTTTATCGCATCGAACACGCGATCAATGGGAAATCGACAGAACTTCGTTGAAATTCGTACGCAAATTGGGCTCCGGACAGTTTGGCGATGTCTGGGAGGGTCTATGGAATAATACAACGCCCGTGGCCATCAAAACTCTCAAGTCGGGTAAGTCAAACAAGATTCTTGATCGAAATATACCTTAAAAATGCAAATGGGTAATTTTCCTATTCGATTTTCTTAACGGAATTAAGATTGAAATAGTGTAGCTTAGAATTTGAATCAAAATCTTAAATACTTAATTTTTCTCTTCTCTACTTAAAACTAATTCTATCTGGATCCAAATATACTATAAAATTTAAATAGGAAATCGCTTTTTATCGATTGCTTGGAAATGGAGCAAATTATCGATTATCGGGAACTGTAGGGATCTACGTTAAGACAGAGGGCAGACAAACAGACAGATAGATAAAATGACAGATGAATAGACTGATCGACTCGGATATTGATGCTGTTCAAGAATATATATGCTTTATGGGGTCGTAGATGCTTCCTTCTGCCTGTTACATACATTTGCACAAAAACATTTTCAATGGATAAGGTGTATAAAAGACCATTTTCTTGAGCCTGTTCTTAGCTTCCTTCGGCTAGCACCTTAATGTGAAAACTGCCTTTAAAGAACATTTTGTCTAGTTAACATTAACATTTCTCAAATTTCGACTTGCAGGCACAATGGATCCCAAGGACTTCTTGGCCGAGGCTCAGATAATGAAGAAACTGCGCCACACCAAGCTCATACAGCTATATGCGGTCTGCACCGTCGAGGAGCCCATCTATATTATAACAGAGCTCATGAAGCATGGTTCCCTATTGGAATATCTGCAAGGTATGTCGGTATATGGGTTATTGTTCAAGTTAATATCACAAAATTGATTAACATAGCATTTGATTCATGAACGCCTCTCGACAAACGCTTTATCAATCCATCGTGCCATTAAATAGTTCTGATGTATGTGTTTTTAATATCTTTTAGCAATTGCAGGCAAATGTCGTAGCATCAAAATGCAAACGCTGATCGATATGGCTGCCCAAATAGCCGCTGGCATGGCCTATTTGGAATCGCAGAACTATATACACAGAGATTTGGCGGCGCGTAATGTGCTCGTTGGCGATGGGAATATCGTAAAGATTGCCGATTTCGGTTTGGCACGGTAACTACAACGAATACAAAATTCAATTTCAATTGTAATTTGAATTTAATCAAATTTTTTATTTGCCATCATCAAGACTCATCAAGGAGGATGAATACGAGGCACGCGTGGGCGCACGCTTCCCCATTAAATGGACAGCGCCGGAGGCGGCCAATTATAGTAAATTCTCTATTAAATCGGATGTGTGGAGCTTTGGCATTTTACTCACCGAACTGGTCACCTACGGACGCATACCCTATCCAGGTGCGTTTCCCTTAAATATAATCAATTTATATTTCAATGCTGAAATCCGTCTATTTCCTTCCCCTTTTGGTAGGCATGACCAATGCCGAAGTATTAACCCAGGTGGAGCACGGCTATCGTATGCCCATGCCGCCCAATTGTGAACAGCGTCTGTACGAGATTATGCTGGAGTGCTGGCATAAGGATCCGATGCGCAGACCCACGTTCGAAACATTGCAATGGAAGCTCGAGGACTTCTATACATCCGATCAGAGTGACTATAAGGAGGCGCAGGCCTACTGATAAATGCTTTATGCGCCCGCTGCCAAACATTGGCAAACTGGCTGCAACAAGGTGGCGCCCGGCTCTGCAGCCAGCCAAGCGGAGCAGACCAACAACAGCAACAACAACAACAAGAAGAAGAAGAACGAAACATGAAGCAACATTGCGCCGTACAACAGCAACCCAAAACGGACAATTCTTATTTAGTTACTTATTTCAGTTTTGCACAGATTTTCTATGGCATCATAAAGAAACAAAGGAAAGGCAAATATGTAATCCCACGCTCCACCAAGAGCTGAGTGTACGTCTAGGTATCAATATATATATATATATATATATTGATATATCTATATATATATACAAACATATATAAATATATAGGAATTACATGTTATTAGCGTTTAAGGCAGGCGGATTTTAGTGTTTAGGGCAGGCGGATTGCAGTGTGCTAAGAATGAAAGTACATATATATATATATATATATATATTATATGTATGTGTATTAATAATATTTGTATTTTTGATTACAAAACATTTCTTTTGTTTCATAAAACGCATGTACATATATATAGCTATGTATGTAACATATATCGTCATGATTTATGCAATCGGGCGCTATTCTAGAACGCTGATTTATATATTGTGCATATATCTATATATCGGATGTATTACTAATCTAATATGGCACACGCATACATATACATATAGTTCACATATATATATATATATAAGTATATACACGAAACGCATAAAGTCACAGTTTTTTATAGGATCTTCATATGCATATTTGTTCTTTTTAGTTATTTAGCCATTATAAACGATATTTAAATACTTATATATTTATGCTTTTAGTTAAAAACATTACGTGTCTTACCTTATATTCAAAACAAACAAACACACATATATACACACACACACACACACACACACACACAACATAATCAACGACATATATGCTTTATCTTTATCGTATAATCGTAAAAAGCAAAAGAAAAAACAAAAATTAAAAAAGAAAGTAAAAGTAAAACGATTAAAAGTAATTAATAATGCAATGCAATAAAGTAAACTCCATATTATTAATGTTATACATTTTAATTGTAATTTTTAACCATTTAATTATACACACAAACGCATCCAAACACGAATCCATGTACATTTAGTGAACAAAAACATCAAAATAAAAATTTATTATCGTAATTTATATAGAAAAAAAAAAAGAAAAAACAAACAAACAGAAATGTATTACAAAATATTCATTGCTAAGGTTTCAATTTTGATTTTTCAGTTCTTGTAACTCATGTTTTAATTTCGGTGAGTATTATTTTAATTTTTGATAATACACTTTTATTTATATTTGCCTTTTGACTGAAGTGCAATAAACTGCTTATACTTACAATAAATTTCGAGCCCAACTAAGTTAAATACCTAAAACTACGTATATATCTTAACCAAGAAAGCATGAATTGAAGGCTGATTTTATAATGCTAACCCTAGTACTTATGTGTTCTTATCTAGTATGTATTCAAATGATTTGCCACTATGCGTTTTGCTTCTACCTACAATGCACAAAGTATATAAACAATAATAAATTGAAAGCAACTGTAATCAAAAAACAAATAAGTAGAAAACATTTTCAAACGGTACTCAAAGCGAATTATTCAACAAACCGTTTTTCTTTTTTCAAACAATTTATGCAGTACTGTCACAACTTAATTATAACTAGAAAACTGTCTTTAAAAAATATATATATATATGTGTTTAAACAAGTTACAACAATTTGTGGGCGTGTCAAATATAAACATACATGTATAACGATTGCAATAAAATAAGTTTGATCAAATCATTTGCGTATATGTAACAACTTTTAAGCTATAAATTGTGAAATATATACGCAAGAAATTGACAATTTCGATGATATAATAAAGCGAGCATATATAAATATAGACGCATATATATATAAATGTATGTCTGTCTATGTATATGCATATATGTATATCAATTTTTTTTAAAGGCCACCGCTTTTGATCTTCCACATATGGACGTGTGTGAGGTCCCAAACTGGTCAATAATAGTTGATTGAATTTTTGGTCAATGCGAGTTTCTAAACCAAAACAAAACAAAACGCATTGAAAGCCCTGCCTAAAATGTCGTCTGGCAGCCCGCACCGCACCGCACCGCACCCCGTTCCGTCGCGCTACCCTGACATTGTGGTCAAGCAGGCAAACAAATACACTCACTCGCACTCGCACACACAAAACAATTGCCAATTGATGACGATTCCGTTTTCCAATGTTTGCCGCTGAGTCAGTCGAGCAGCACGCCGCCGACAATCGCTCACTTTTGTCTTGTCGATTAATTCGGGCATAAACTCGGCACATTTGCTGCTAAAAAAGAGGAACACATGATTCTACAATTGTACAGACAGACATGCGCAGGTACATATATGTTTAGCTAGACTGTAATTGTTGCCTTTTAAGGTAAACGGCTGTGTCGACCACAGCTGTTTTTTATTTTATTTTTTGTTATTTTATTTTTTGTGTTGGCAATCAATCAGGGGTGGGTGGGGGATCGGCTGGCCGGCTCGTCACGCTGATAAGCCGCTACGAATCATGCCCCGCATATGCAGCAACAGCAGCTACAAAGAATAAAAACAATGACATATGTAGTTGTTAATCCAAACACTTCCTGCGAACTGAGCTTTTGTTTATTTTTGGGCTGAAATCGAACATCTTTGGGGCATTAGTAAGCCGCCGCCTTATCGACAGACGCCCGCGCGCTGGCAAATCTCATTTGCATTCACTTATGTCTTAGTCATATACAGAATGCCCGCTTAATATTTAATAATTCACAAAACAATATGAAAAGTCGTTTAACCATATTCAGTTCTTCATCGCTTTTTATTGTTTTTTTCTTCTTTTCGTAGCGGTTACAAATGCTTTTTAGTTTAGTTTTCTTTTTGTTTTTATTATTTTTATTTATTTTTTTTGGGTATTTTTGAGTATGTGTAATACATAATAATATATGTAGGAATGCTTGAGAATGTTTAATGTTTAATGCCGAATATGAATAATACATACATATATGCATATATATATTTTTTATATAATAATACCAATGTGCGTATGAACTCGTGAATTTCGATAGAACACAAAAATATGCTAATTTCTTATGTGTAATATGTGTGTGTGACTATGTGTGTATGTGTATGTGTGTGGGTGTGGGTGGGCGTGTGTATGTGTGCGTTTATATGGTATGAGTTCGTATAAAATTGTTATAAAAAAATTTAGTTTATCTTTGTTTTTGCTGTTCCTGTTTCTGGTGCTGGTGCATATGTCCTGTCTGTGTGCGTGTCTGCCGCCCGGCACATCTCTTCTTTGTTCTCTAACCTATCCCTTATATGAAAAAGGAAATCAATGCAATTTTTGTGTGTGTGTGTGTTTGAGGCGTAGCGCACACAGACAGGACCACGCCCAGCGTCAGTCACAGTTGTTCTTGTTGTTGTTTTTGATGTTGTTGTTCTTTATGCTGCTGCTGCTGCTGCTGCTGCTTAGAAGCATTTGCGGTGAACAATGGATGGGCCGGACTCGTCGTACTCCTGCTTAGAAATCCACATCTGCTGGAATGTGGATAGGGAGGCCAAAATGGAGCCACCAATCCAGACGGAATATTTACGCTCTGGTGGCGCCACAATCTTAATCTTCATGGTGGACGGAGCCAGAGCCGTAATCTCCTTCTGCATGCGATCGGCAATGCCTGGATACATGGTGGTGCCACCGGACAGGACAGTGTTGGCATACAGATCCTTGCGGATATCAACATCACACTTCATGATCGAGTTGTAGGTAGTCTCGTGGATACCGCATGCCTCCATGCCCAGGAACGAGGGCTGGAAAAGTGACTCGGGACAACGGAAACGCTCGTTGCCAATGGTGATGACCTGTCCGTCGGGCAGCTCATAGGATTTCTCCAGCGAGGAGCTAGAGGCGGCGGTGGCCATCTCCTGCTCAAAGTCCAGAGCGACATAGCACAGCTTCTCCTTGATGTCGCGCACAATTTCACGCTCAGCGGTGGTAGTGAACGAGTAGCCACGCTCGGTAAGGATCTTCATCAGATAGTCGGTCAAATCGCGACCAGCCAAATCCAGACGCAAAATGGCGTGTGGCAGGGCATAGCCCTCATAGATGGGCACGGTGTGGGTGACACCGTCGCCAGAATCCAGAACGATGCCAGTGGTACGACCGGAGGCGTACAAGGACAACACAGCCTGAATGGCCACATACATGGCTGGAGTATTGAAGGTCTCGAACATAATCTGAGTCATTTTCTCGCGATTGGCTTTGGGATTTAGTGGAGCCTCGGTCAGCAGCACGGGATGCTCCTCGGGTGCCACGCGCAGCTCATTGTAGAATGTGTGATGCCAGATCTTCTCCATGTCATCCCAATTGGTCACGATGCCGTGCTCAATGGGATATTTTAGAGTCAGGATGCCACGCTTGGACTGCGCCTCATCACCCACATACGAGTCCTTCTGACCCATGCCGACCATCACGCCCTGATGGCGCGGACGGCCGACAATTGATGGAAAAACGGCGCGTGGTGCGTCATCACCGGCAAAGCCGGCTTTGCACATGCCGGAACCGTTATCGACAACCAAAGCGGCAACCTCTTCGTCACACATTTTGCTATTTGGATTGGTTTTGGTTTCTGCAATTGAAGAAAAAGACGAACCAAATATGTACACTCGTATCGGCAAACGGCTTACGACTGCCGTCGCTGCCCAGACTTGAGCTGAGACTCGAGTCGGACACGCACAAAGAAAGACTGAATTTATTACCTTTTAAGGAAATATAAGAGACGAATGAAGTTTTTTTGTTTCAGATTCTCTGAATTTACCGCTGCGCAAACTTTGCACAATGACTGACGCTTCACAATTGAAACGACGCCTACTTTTTTCAAAAGTGGTTGAAATTTGCCGAGCGCACAGCGCTGCCACTCTTTTTAAAAATACCGAAAAAATACCCAAAACAGAAAATGCCTAAATAACGATGTGTCTATCGATAAACAATAAGACGCAACAGCTGTTCAAGCCGCTAAGTGCATGTTCTTGGCGTTTCTTGTTTGTCATTGGTTTAAATGTGCAATAAATTTGGTTGTTTAGATAGTAAATTAAGTTAATACGCAGGCGCTTACGATATATTTACATAACCATCGCACATCTCTAGTCTAGCCAGCCAGCCAACCACTCACAAGACCACCCACCCGACGATAGCGCCATTCCGACTTATTTGATAGCCGCGCATTTATCAATCATGGTCGACATTAACTTGGAGTGCGTAAAGTTGATTGAGCCACAGCCAACAACAACTACAGAGCAGCAGCAACAGAAATATCTAGAGGCAGCGCGCATACTGCTCGTGCTGCTCGAGAATGTGCTGAGTCAGCCAAATAACCCCAAGTTTCGCACCATACACCTGGAGAACAAAGCGATCAAGGAAAAGCTGCTCTCGCTGAAGGGC